GCAAAATATTATGCACGTTTCTTCAAAGTGTAATAAAATAACACGACGATCTTTGAAAAAAGTGCATAATGTTTAAAATAATGTTTATAAACCATATATAATTAATAAAGTTGCTTAAACAATTGGGGGAAAAAGCAGCACCATGCATGTATGTATAGTTTAATACAAAGGACCGAAAACCAATCACAAAGAGTAGGCTACTTTCTTCATTTAAAAACTTGAGATGCAGTGGGATGGGGGAAACCGCCATAACGTCTTGAGACATGTTTTTTAAAAGTTGAACTTGCATTAATTTTACATGGCTTTCTAAACATGCCGCTCTCTTGTGCGAGACACGAGTGCAACGCTGATAGATGTCCCTCTAGAAAATGTGATAAATATGCGTTCTGTGTGAACGGCTTAGTTTCAGTTTTGACGTAAACAACATCTTCGCCACACTGATGCTTTCGTTTTCCGCAATATATTGAATGAACAATGTAGCAGCGCCGCATCTAGTGGCTTCAACTGGATAAATTAACAAAAGCATTCAAATGCAATGACACTTACATTGTCGTCGCATTTCGTGCGCCACTGATAGGCTGATGCAGACCTAAAAGTTTTTGTATTCGAATGTGGATTTTTTTTTTCATTCGACGAATATTCGAAATTCGAATTTTGTTTTTGACAGCCCTATTGTATTGCTTCTGCTGCCGCTGTCGCGCCTAAAATCACTGTAACGCATGGCCTCTTGTTGATTATTGCTTTAGTAATACATTTATCTGTCCTGACAAGACTCAAACCTTCAGTGTCTATAGTGGGTGTTTTTCTGGAAAGCTAAATTTCACCCTTAAAACAGACCGGCCAAACACGCTCACAATCCCATAAGCCTATTAGTTCTTGTCTGCGGTACATTATCTCGGGCAGACAGAGTCTTGCTCACAGATCGTGTCTCAGTGAACGTGACAGCGGAAAGAAAACAGGCCGATTTCATCAGAGTCGCGCTCTCACTGGAGCTACACCCATCCAGCAACTTCACCACATGATTCGTTTTGATGTTTAAAGCGGAAATAAGCAGTAAATAAAGCCAACCGAGGTGTATCTGTGAAAAAAAATAAATAAATATTCACAGATGTTTTCCCAAACAATTCTGTACTAACATGAGAATAGAAAAAAAGTATTTAAATTATAATATAAATCATAATGTATCCTACATAATTGTTTCCATATACATAAATTACAATAGTAATATTTACAAATGAATACATTTATTCAACATTTAAATAAGAATGTCTGTTTAATTATAATACATATTTAAGTACATATATTTATATTATATGTATTAGAATAATTA